TACTTTTTACTTTTCTCTTATACTAGTGCATTTAGATTACTGCAAAAGAAAGCCAGTAATTTCTTTCTGACTGTTGAATAGTTGTATTAATACTAACAATGTTACAAAGAAGGTCTCAGTTTATACTAGTGCATTTAGATTACTGCAAAAGAAAGCCAGTAGTTAGTAATTTCTTTCTGACTGTTGAATAGTTGTATTAATACTAACAATGTTACAAAGAAAGGTCTCAGTTCACACTCAGTTTGACCTGTGAAAATGTTCCAAGGTATTTTTGTCAAGTGTCTGTGGGAATATTTCCCTGCAAACCTGTGAGGCTCATACAGTGATAGTGTAATATGTGATTAATATATCTAATTGGTTTTAAATACCAGGTCAGATAAATCAGTACTTCAGTATCTGATCGTTTATGAACAACCTTTTTCCTGCTTTTTGGGTAAATTATGTTAATAGTATCTATAATCAGAGATTTCTGAGACATTTATTTTGAATCAAAACAATACTTTTTCATTGTTGCACACTTTTGCAGCTCTGGATAGGCATGTAAGAAGAAGGACTTAATATGCTGTAATATTTCTAGGTTCTCTGAGTAGGAATAAAAAATACTGAAAATGTAAAAGAAAACTACTTTGAAAAATTTCCAGAACGGTTTTTTTTGGTTGTTCAGAACAGCATATGAACATTTGGAGTACTTTCCAAACCAAAGACTTTCTCAGAATCCTTTTTTTAAGAGTTACGCAGATCACCATGGTCATTTACATGCATGTCTTACATTTATCCCTATTCTTTGGTCTGTTCTTTTGTCTTTTAGATTATGAATTTTGCAATGACTCTGTCATTGCCTGTGTTCATACGTGATATAAATATTCAAAAACAATAACCATCCCAGTCAAATTAAAGGTGAAGTGGTTGTGGATGTTTAATATGGCAGTGGCTGTGGTATTGAAACTTACAGGCCCCCAGAAGGCTTGATTCTTGTTGTTAGGGTTGCTTCAATATTTCTAGAGATAAGCTTACTAAAACCAGAGAGAAACCCTGATCGTTCATTGACTGCACCTGGTTATTCCACTGTCACCTGCACACCATCCGCCCCAGGCACTGATGCTCTCTGTAGCTAGCATGGTGGTCCTGCAGGCAGCTAGCTATAAGGCTGGTGGTTAAATTTGGTGGTTGTCTGTTACTGATAGGGAACAGATTTTAATAAAAAGAGCAATTACAAAATCCTGAATTATACAGTGAAAATTTTGCTTGACTAAATTTTTTCTTATATTTCCTTTTCAAGGAAGGAATCAGACCTCCTATTTGTAGGACAGATTGGGAACTTAATGACAATTGGGGTTTCTGGACATTACTGTGTAAAAATACTGACTGTATACAGTGTCCATCAGCATGACTGTGAACCCCCATAGGTTAGCTTGTCCATTTTGGTGACAAGATAATGGAGGGCCTTTTTTCCCCCCCTTCTTGAGAGTTCATTGAGAAACCCAGCTTCTGTCCATGAGGAAATCAGATACACGTCTTCAGTAAGAACCTTTTTCAATACCTCATATATTTATTTAATGCAAGTCTGCTTTATATCTTCTGGGTGCCAAATTCCACCTGCATAATGTAATATAATTAGTAAGTATCTCACATAATCAGGATCCGTACAAGTTTGATCAGAAAGCAAGAAACGTTTCTGGAATTTAACTTTCCTCTGCTCAGTGTCTGCTTTATTCAGATTTGGTAAAATACAATACTTAAGAAAAATCATTTTACTGATGCTCTTTTACAGGTGCAACTTATGTTAAACGATGTATCTGAGATATATATATCTCAACATAGATACCAATATGTTTAATGTGAGGGCTTTTAAGATTGTGCATAATCAAAGACTAAATAAGCAGAATATAGTTAATGTACATTTTACTGTCAGTTTTAATCTTCTTGGTGGCATACAGCTGTCTTCTGCCACAAATGACATATTCCCTCTTTTCCTAATTCACTGCTGAGGGGTGATTGCCTCTGCTCAGATTCTATTTTTATTTGACCTGAAGCCAATTGCATATATTCTCTTAGACAAAACTGGACCTGGCATGACTTCTGTTCTTTATAGCTGCCCTGCTGAAATGATTGATATTTGCCAGTGACTGTCATACTGAAAATTAAATCCCATTTCTTGCTTGACTTTATATTGGTTTCTCAAATTTAGTGTTGGATTATAAACTAGACGTTTTTATAATTTGAAAATGAAAGCAAATTAATGCTGGAGTCAGCCTTGCAGGCTAGGAGAAATCTCAGTTTGTTCTTTAGAGATGTACTCATTCTTAGAGAAAGTTCAATGTCTTTGATAGAACTGCTGTAAAATATGTAGGTCTTTCTGTGGTTTTCCAACTCTTAAGTTTTGGTTTTCAAAAAGATCAAAAATAGCACAGAGGATGAAAGCCTATCTGCCAAACCAGCACAGTCCAACTTCACATTTTTAAATCTGATTATAAGAAGCAGTTAGCTCAGCAAGCCTTGCTTGTCCAGCACTTACGATTTCCCTTGAGCAGTAGAAATGCTAATTAATGTTCCCAGAGCTAAAACTGTTTAGCTTAATGGAAAGACTTCTTTTTATTTTTGTCTTATTTCTACTCTTCCAAACAGACCAAGGTTTTCTTTCACATTAAAATAAATGTAGGCCAAAACCCAGCTGACATGATAATGAGACCAATTTAACTGAGTACACAGACTCAAACGGTGTAGTCAGTATAGCATTAGATAACAGTTAAGATTGTGTTCTAAGTTGAAATGCTCCTTCAGTGAAGACAAGCCCTAACAGAAAGACGTCAGTGAGCATAGGAAGCTTACTAGGGCAGAGACTAATATGAATGAAATTAAGTGAAAGGAAAATGTAAGCTGTCAAGCCTCCTAGCTTGAGCTGTAATATACTGTAAAATAAATTTCCAAAAGAAATGGCAGCAGTAATGTTTTAGCCAGAAAATGTAAGACTGCATAAATAGCTTGTTAATTGATGGTCTGTGCAGTATATGTGTCTTTATAGTGTAAATACTATAAATAATGTTCCTGCATGGGCTGTAAGTGTCTGTAGTTTTGGTAAAATAGACAGTTTACAACTGGTATAGACAAAAACACGTTTGATAGTTAAATCCAAATGATTGCTGCATCCAAATTCATAATGCTGTGGTCTTCCAAGTCAAAGCTGTGTTCAATCTGTGTCCCATGCAGGGAGAGGGGCTCCTAGCAGCCATTCTAACACTGTGCCAAGTCTACTGTTTATAACCGTATTTTCATGAGCCGCACCATTATTGCCCTATAGTTCATTAGCTTTAAATTACATTTATTATAAAACAAACTATATAAATGAATTTTGGCTTCTCCTTTTCAATGGATGCTTTCTGATCATTGTGTGTGAGAAATAAATCAATGTCCATAGAAAATGGCTTTTGGGAAGCAAGATTTGATATAGTGATTTGAGTTTTTGTTAGTGATGGCTGAATTGTAATTATAGTTTAGAGTGTTTCCCATTAAAATTGGTAGCAATGGAGTCACCAAAAATGCTTTCAACTTACTGTATATTTTGGCTGAAAATTGTTGACTTCACATATGTATTACTTTCTTTTGTCACCAAACAATGTGTATATGCTATCAAAAGTAAAATTTCAGCATTTTAAGAACTTGTTTAGACATTTCTAAACATGAATCCATGCTTATGCAGATTTGATAATCATTACTTTTTTCAGTACATATTACTTTTAAGTGAAATCGTAGTATAAACTCATGTACTAAAATATATTCATGTTCTGTATATTTAATAATTGTTAGAAACATGTCATAAGCCTGCTCATTGTTGCATGCACACTAAAACCTCCTCTGCTTTACAAATGGCACACCTTCTTCTCTCGCTCCCCTCCCACCACCACCTCAGACCCTACCATAATGGTAGGAATTTGAAATCTGTGTAGAAGAATAAGAAAGATTACTGCACTTGATGTGCCATTTGTATATTGTTGTTTTAAAGAAGAAATTATTGTAGCATACATAACAGAATATATTTTGAAAGGAGGTATTCTTTGTGCATTTTATCTTTGGAGCAATAAGAAATTGTATCTTTCAAGCTCCTGAACAACCTTTCTCTTTTTATAAAATATACTGTTAGGGAAGAAAGTATTTTACATTTAGAGGCCGTCTGTTTAAAAAACATTATCTTTTTTAAGTCCTAGGCCACCAATTCCTCTATCTCTCCTTCTATCAGAAGAAGAAGCAAGCATAGTAATTCAGTCCTTCTGGAGAGGTTATCGGGTAAGAGTAATCTATAATTATTTTGCTTGATGTTGGAAACCGTAGGACTGTGAAGGCCCCAGGGAAAATCCTTACATAAATTTTAAGTAGGGGATACTATAAATAGCTGCTGAGACACCCGTGGTTCATTGGCTTTAGATGTTGCCCTGCCTTATGCCTAGTGACTACAATTTTTTCACAGGCATTTATGCTGATGTAATCTCACTGTTTTCCTCAACAACAGAAAATCTGCAGAAATTCGATTTTCAAAAGTACAATTAACACTGAACAATTTTTTTTTTTTTAGTTAATATTTGGGTAGTTGCTAAAGGATGAAGTGTTATTTTGCTTCGTGCAGGGATATGTGAGTGAGTGTGGAGATGCACAAGGAGGATTGGTGAGGTCTGTTAAGAAATAAAAGCATAGAGGAACAAAGGAGAAAAAATTGAGACCAAGAATGAGACAGGAGATGTAGGAGAGGCATGAAGGCTGTTATTCAAGGAAAGGGAAAACAAAATGGCAAGCAGATGTTGCAAGCCATACTAGTAATAAAACATTAACACAATCCCCAATTTAAGAGGGAAAAGCAAGGCACATAAAATAAATACAAAGAAAATTGGCTAATACTGAACAAAGGAGAAAAAATTGAGACCAAGAATGAGACAGGAGATGTAGGAGAGGCATGAAGGCTGTTATTCAAGGAAAGGGAAAACAAAATGGCAAGCAGATGTTGCAAGCCATACTAGTAATAAAACATTAACACAATCCCCAATTTAAGAGGGAAAAGCAAGGCACATAAAATAAATACAAAGAAAATTGGCTAATACTATTATTTTGGAGGGTAACAGCCATGCTAAGCCTAGGGTACAAAATAAATTATTTGAAAATCCTGAACAGATTCTGTCAAATATTGCTTTAAAAGGCTCTAACACCTTCACGCCTTGGAAAGAAATGAACTTGAAATTCAGGCGACTTTGGTGACAAAGAAATGTCTTGGACTGCCTTTATCAAAATTTAAGCTCGTAAATAGTCTCCAGATATAGCAGTAATTTCGTTGTGATGGACGGTGAGACATCTCTGTCTGTACGTCAGGTGTTTAAATAACAATCAGTATAAAACACTCTCTGTTAAGTTCTTCTTTACTACTTTTAACAAGCATTAATATAAGTGGCCACTATAATGTGCCGTGCAGCCAAAGATGATGAAATACCTTGAAATTATCTTCTTGACTGATAGATTTTTGTGACGCTTTTTGCTTGTTCATTTTCCTTTATTTTTCTTTTTTTAAACAAAGATGGCATTGACACTAACATTAATTAGCACTGACAATATCACTGTAGGCATCCTTACAGTGGAGTATTGCAAAGGCAACTGTTATCCAATAACAGTTATGTTTGCTGAGCAGTGCAAGGTTGCTCAGATACCTTGTGCTTCTACCAAAGCTCCTGAAGGCCACTATCCTTCCTTGCTATATATATTAACTTCAAAATTTTCACAGTAGTAGTTATCTTCCTAAACCAGTTCCCAGAAATGAGAAACTGTAGCTATAAAAAGTAGGAGATACCAAAAATAATTCAGACTATAAAGTTAGTTGTTACATGTTTTAGCTTATTAGAGCTGAAAAGCTCATTAGAGCTGAAAGAACTTGGGTTTTTAAAAATTAAAATTTAAATTAAAATCAGAATATAAAATAAAAATCATTAGTAACAGTTACTACATAGGGCAATGTGTTATCCTTGGGCTTGTAAATTAAAAGAACACTAAGCTTAAATGGAGCTCATTAGAGCTGAAAGAACTTGGGTTTTTAAAAATTAAAATTTAAATTAAAATCAGAATATAAAATAAAAATCATTAGTAACAGTTACTACATAGGGCAATGTGTTATCCTTGGGCTTGTAAATTAAAAGAACACTAAGCTTAAATGGGATTTCATCGCATTAATTATAAACTGTATTATGAAAATTTACCAAAGAATTCAGATTATTTGCTTTTAAAATAAACAGCTCTGTCAGCTAACACTGATTTATTGTGGTAATAACTGAATGCTTACAAATAATGCCCTTTTGCATTCTAAGGATATTATTGTGTCAGTATTTTAAACTCTTTTCTGATTTTTTCATTAAATCTTGTTTTATAATTCACAGAATTTGGAGCTTTTAAACACTATTATTGATATAAAAATTTACACGTTGTGATAACATTGAATAATTAAACACAAGCGCACATACATATTTTACATGGCATTGTGATAAAGGAACAGTGTACTTCACCATTGGTCTTCTCAAGATACACTTTAAAGGACATAACGTCACATGCCATAGGTACTTGTTTGAAAGATGGATGGAGAAGGATTCTGGAGTCACTGTTGGATTTCAGAAAAAGTAAGAGACTCGGAAATCTGGGCAGGATAGTTTTGTCTTTAACAACGCTATCCCAAATGTGAACCTTGTAAGTTTTTTATTCTTAAACAATGTCATATAAGGTGTGAGAAACCACAGCAAGTTATTTTTCTTGGACACATCTCCTATGGACTCAGACCATTTTTTAGATATTTCGTTAACCATATTGATCTGGGCAGTAGAGTTTATCTAGTTATATAACTAACTGAGCATCGTGTCTTCTCATGACACTTCACTTGTTTCTGCTACATCTAGCTGTCTGAGTGTGCCAGTATCAAAACCACATGGCAATCAGCAAAAATGGATCAGGTAGTAAAGGCTTTTCTATGTAAAGGGAAAAAAATATATACGTACAGAATATTGAGAACTTTTTGATAATAAAGCATGATCAAAGCAGTACATTCATCCTTACCTGAAGCAAATTCCAGAACAATACTTGTTTTGGTAGTAATAATTAATGGCTGCCATCAACAAAGTCCTTTCTACAATCTTTCATACAAAGACGTTGATGAGTACTCTTAAAATTATTTCAAATTTAATCAAGAATTAAATTCCAGAACAAACAGCAGTGGAAGCTACAACTGCTGAGTACTCTAAGGAGATCAGAAAGGAAGATGTCATCTTGAGGGATCTCTTTGAGGGCAAGGAGGAGCACCCAAATAAGGCTGGAGACAGATCTGTCATCAGAATTCTTTCTCTTCACTTCTCACCAGCCTCTTTTATTGAGGTTCCATTCATCTGTTGTGGGCCAAGGCAGTATTCAGTATCTGGTGAAAACCCTTGATTGGTAGGTATCAATTTTCCAGGCACTTTTACAAGAAAAGATATATTCCTTCACCCCTCTACTGCAGAATCCGTGCTTAGTGTCATTTGTTTTATAGGGTCTTTTTAATCTTTACAGTTTGCGTAACTATTCTAGACTGAAGGGATTTTTCATTAATACAATTTTCTCTAATGTCTCTGGTCAAAGCTTTAGTGTTATCTTTCCGCTGTTGTGCAACATGTTCTCAGCTAGCATTGAAAGCAGTTTATTTTGACTAAATCTTGTAGTAATATGGAGTTTAAATTGGACAGCATTATGTAAATATTCAGTGCTATTTTATACATAAGTATTGTTTGAGCAACAGTTAAATCAGAATTGATTTAACAACACAAAAGTGTCGTGCTTTTGCTATCACAATTTATATTCCTTTCCAGCAAGTTGTGGCTACTAGCAAAGGCTCAAACATAGAAGGTCTCGCAAATACTGTTCTTTACAGCAAGTGTAGATTCAAATCAAGTGACTTGAGTAAGAATGAACTCTCACTTCAAAGTTAAGACTCCTTCAGTGCTTCATGCATTGCTGGTCTGCAGGCGATACACATCACTTGTTTGGACAAGACTCTTGACCCTTTGATTATTTGCCTGGAGATTTTGCTGCTGAGTCATGGCTTTTTAATCATGGTAGATTTGCACGCTGATTACAAAATAGGGACTACTTTCTGAGAAATCATCGTAACTATGCTAAATTGTAATCTATTAAGCATATTTGGAACATGTTCATGGTATTTGTGTTAAGTTCCTGTTACCTGTTTTGCTGCAGGTGATGTATCTGTGTTCCTTTTTCTTTTCTTACACTTTTCTAAAAAATCACTTTGTTCTGGGAGCTCATGTTCACTGCTTGGGTTTAATGTTGGACTTTGGAGTATTTGAGTCTATCTGACTATGCCTTTATCTCAGAGCCCTGTATTTTGCTATGTATTTCACTGTACTTTCACTATTTTATTTATCTAAGGAGAGTATACAGAATCTACTATACTTGCCTTGTATCTTTTAACTGTTAAGAGTTACTGTCTTCATTTTCAGTATACAGAGATCGCTGTGGCCCTGTCACAGGCCAAAATACAGGTCTTGCATAGCTGCAGTTACAAATGGACACTTCATTTTCTTCAGAAATTTTATAGTTAGAAATAGAGGTAGTAATTTCTCTATCTTCCTGCCTCTTTTCTGCTGCTGTCATTTATATGTCCTGTAAGCATTCCCTTAACCCTTTCCTGTGCAGATAAGCTGACTCCATGTGATAGGGAATTATGAATTCTGTAAAAGCATACATGACAGTACAAAAGAAAAAAAGTCTCTTGCAAGCCTAAAGAAACTATCCCGTGTTTGGGATTATATTGTATTTTTGGAAATAGTATGTGATGGATTTAATACAAAATGGTTTTGATTTTTTTGTGTAGCTGAGAAGATCACTAGTAACAGTAACTTTTTTTTTTAGATTTTAAAATTTCATAACAGCCTTGTAAAAACTTCATATAACTTTTAAAGAAGATAATACAGAACTATATTAGTATAATGGGATATTATTAGAGGCCTAAGAGGTATCTGATGTCAAGTCACTAAGTAAAAGTCTTGCCTGTCTTTATTGATCATGTAACCTTGTACTGTATTTCTGCTCTGCCAGTGCACTATCTGAAATATAGCAAGTTATCTTCTCCTAAGCAGATTGAAAAGTGCTGTGGGAGTTCAGCTACTGTCTATTGCATTCTTAGCTGCACCACAAAGGAGAAATTCTGGGTGGAAAGAATACTTTTGATAAATAATTTAATATTGTTTTCTTTAAGTTTTTTGGGGTTTTTTTTGAACTAGTGGAAAACTAAGTCCTGCTCTTTTGCTCTCTATGTATCTCAGGAAAGTGGGAGAAAACCAGAGTGTAATGGAGTAGAGTAATAGAGTTCAAATCACAGAGCAAACTCATTACCATATCATGTAAGAATAAAATAAATACAAGAAATTTTCTAGAAAACTAAGTAGTCGGCTTCCTGAAAGCAAAAATGTGCCAGGAGAAACCAAGCTTATTGCTGCTTGTTTCTTCCTTGTTATTCAACTTCAGCCTGAATTACTAGGACATTAAGTCCTAAAACATAATGACATTTTATATATGTAACATTTAGAAAAAATAGAAACTGCATTTTTAATAATTCTATTATAATTTGAATGTGACTCTAAGAGAATAATCACTTACCAATGTCTAAGCTAATACTAGCATGTCCCCTTCCCGCTCTCGTCAGAGGGACAGTATCTATTCTGGATTTTTGCTCTAGCACTGGAGGTAGTAATTGTGTGAATGCCGAGGTAGACAACTGGCAACATACTGCTAATTAATCAAATCCTGCTTAGAACAAGTTTAAGTAGCAGAGTGGTAAAAGCTGTTGTTGCAAAGCTAGCTCTTTCTTATATTAGTAGGATCTACACTGGTACAAAAGCAGTAATAGAAGAATTCAACTTACATCTTAAATGGAGTCAAGGCCTTTGACTATTGTCATTTTATGTGGAAGCAGAATTACGCCCTTCATAGGGCTGATTGACTGACAAAGAATAGATATCATGTAATGCATTCCAATTACTTTCAATAACAGATTAATGGCTCTCCTGCTTGTGAAAATTGTATGGCTGGGATTGTCAGTAAGCCTGTTTGCAGCTGGTAGCAGGTGTGAATCAGTTTGCTGGAATAAATTTCCTGCTGTATGACCCTTCATGCTCCTCTTCTGCTCTATTATGTTGGTCAATGGGTTGGTTTTATAGTGTTGTGGTTTTCTAAAGGCACTAATACCCTTCAGCATAATGCTTTAAATTTTCATTAGCTCAAAGAATAAGCGTCTCACTGCAATCACATTCTCCAGAGTCCTTGGTAATCAAAATGATCCCCTAATTGGCATATTTATGTTTTCAATGTGGTTTGTCAATTATGTGGCTTTTATTTCTGTATAAGTTGAAAACTGTAAACCTCTGGGATTGTGCTTTTATATCAGGCCCTGCAAAAAGGATGGATGTCATGTATTTGCCCAGCCACAGCCCCACGAAAAAAAATTGTCTCATTGTCTTGGGTAACATGAATGTATATCATTTTAGTTGCATTTTCTGTTTTCCCTTTCCCAGGTCCGCTGTGATAGTGAAATACAAGAGCTACGTCAGTGGCAAAAGCAGTTGAGAGAGGAGAAAAACATTATTAAAAGAGTGAAAGAATTCTGGACTAAGCAGGAAGCCAAAGGTATGTGAATTAAACTGTATATTTTAATGATTTTTCTTTTTACGTTAAGTGTTTAATTTTTATATTTCAAGTTGTATTAAGAAATAGGACACACAGTAAGACACAAATCACAAGTGAGAAGAGAAGGCAATGTCGGTTGGGAATGCCTGGCTGTTTCTTTACAGTCACTACTTACTCTAAGTTAGTTGCCTGAATAGCTGAAAGTGGCAATTAAAAATACAGTACAGGGCCAAAGCTCAATAATTTCAGAGGACTATGACAATGTGCTGGCACAGTATTTCCTAGGGCAGGATCAGATCTCTACCAGCTACACATGTAAATACTGTTTTTTACCAGATGGGTTGTTGTACAGTTTTTCTGAACTGTGGGATTTCTATTTGGTAAATGTTCTACTGGCATTTTCCTGTAGTTATTTATAGCAGAAGTTGGCCTGTACAGTTCTAAAAAAAGAAAACAAACCCAAACAACCCAATATAATTGCCAAGTGAAATGAGGCCAGATTGCTTTAAGAACCGATACTGTAACATGTTTCCTTCTTGCCCTGATTGTGGACAAGGCTTTACTGACAGGGCCAAAGTTGTTATTCACTTACTCAGGCACAGTGGTGTAATTATGATTATTCAGCCAGCCTCTTTGTCTACTAATGCAGGAGGATTCACTAGCTGCTCAACCGGTCTACATTTTATCAGCCTCTGTGGGCTGGACTCAAATGGGATATACGTAGGGATGTAAACTACATGCCAATAGATGTAGGTGAGAAGAGGTCGTTCAGCTACGTTGTTCATGTGTTGAACAGAGGGAAAATTATGTTGTACCAGTCACCGTTGTGTGGTCCTTCAGTCTGATGGCACTGTCACAGATGTGTTTTCACATGGCCGATCTTTGCCCTGAACTATGTAAGAGCATTCAAGGTGCAGTTTCACGCAGTCAATTGGATCAAACTTGGAGCTGCCAAAAGGGTTGATCCCACTCTGTAGCTCTTGCATCAATTTTGGTGATTGTCTAACTGCACCATGGGTTTGGATCAGTTTTGGTATGGGGCAGGTTAGTTTTCCACAACGTTGTTGCCACATGATTGCTGTATCTAACACAAAGGGGAAAGTGAACTGGGGAGAGAGAGGGATAACTACTTTCAGCAGCCCACAGCTTGGTTAAATTGAGCAGAATATGAGATGGTATTCTCATACCTGGTTACTGCTCATGGCTGAGGAAGTGCCAATCTCCAGGTGATTGGCAGGAGTTAAAAGCCAGGGGCAAGTCATGGCTTAGACCTCTTCAGCTCAGTACACAAAAGCACATCTGTTCATGCCCTCATTCTGAGCCTGGTTGTCATGGGGCTTCACTGGGGAAGGAGAGACTTACATTTGAATCCCTGAAGGGCAAGAAAGTTTAGAATCGGGTTTCTGTGAAAGCTTTTAAAATGCTGAGTCCTGGTCAGTTAGATACCTACTCTCCAGAAAAATCTACAACTCTAGATTTCAAGTGACAGAAAATTGGTGATGTGCAATCTGGTATTAGGCAGCTTAATGGGAGGCCTCTGTCCTCCGTGTTGCCTAATGACCTAGGCAGCTTTTCACTCAGCGCTGAATATTTGTGGGTCACCATTTGGAGCTCTTTCTCTTTGCTGCCTCTGTAGACCATGCCATTGTTTCGTTGGTTCACCTTCAGGTACCCAATTTCTACACATTTAAAGTCTAAGCTGAACACTGAGTATGTCCTGCTGGGTCTTCACTCAAATGTTTTTTTCTTTCCTTATTCTCTATGCAACTTAACTGTTCTTTTTAATGAAATGGAGTTATTGTACTCATGCACAGATATGAAATAGGGTGTTCTGGAATTAAGTGTTTGACATCCTCACAGTATGCTTTATTTTAGAAACTACAGTAAGAATGTCCATACATAAATAGTACTTATTAACATCACTGCTGTAGCAATCAGAGCTTGTTGTAAGTGACTAGAGCCTTGCAATTCTTCAATAACTCTAGTCATCAAATCTTTTGTGGCTATTGTTAATTTTAAAACTGTCCTGCTTTTTAATAGATGATACAACTAAAACTTCCCTATGAAGCATTTTAATTATAAAATAGTCCATGCTTTGTAAATGTCAAAGGAATTAACAGCAGTCAGGTCATTAACCTGATGCACTGCAATTATTCTTTCACTTTTTATTGTGCATCTATTCTATCTATCATTAGTTACAAGTAGATCAGGCTAAAAGGACAGCATGAAAGTTCCACACATTTCCCTTTCTGCTTGCAATCTTCTTTTGAAATTTCTGCCTAAAGGTGAAAGGAGTTTTTCCTTTCACATATGTGAAAGGAGAAATCTGTTACTAGTAACAATCATTGTAACAACTGGGATTACAAAATAACCCCTTGTTTTCAGTTTTCCTTATTTTAATGTTTTTTCCTTCACACAAAATAAATGTAATAGGCACTTGGGGCTAATAATAGCATTTTAAACAAATGCTAGATTCTTTCTTCTGTGAAATCCCAGCCCTTCCAAATGGGCTAATTTTTATAATACCAGCAAACACGAAGTTATACATTAGTAATTTCTCCATGTTTTCAAGCTCCCCCACTGGCAAACCTTTGATTCCCTAAACTTCATTCCTTTTGTTTCCTATTTGTACTTACATATCTGTTGGATAGCATTAGTTTTTAGGACATCTAGTCAGGGTAATGTTGCAGTTATACTGTGTTAAGTTTGCTGTCAAGCCTTCCGAAGTGTATGCAGAACACCAACTAATTCTGCAATCAGAATTGGGTAAGTAGGTCTTTCCACTGGGTATTTGCTAATGAACACGGGGTTCAGTAGTTATAGTATAAATCTTTCCAATAAATATCTTAATACATGGTGCTATTGTAACACAATTTCTCCTCCATTGTGTGAAGTGGAACAGTATTTAAACCCACTCTCACACAACAGCTGTGCAGCAAACACCAGGCAGTACTGGGAACAAACATTTTAAACTTTTTCTCTGGATTTCTGAAGTAATCCACATTTTGTCACATAACATGAAGTGAATCAGTGGCAACTCATCCTCTAGGACAATGTTCACTGTTGAAAAGCTGCCTCTATGGGCCGCCTCCTTTAATCCTCTGGAGTGCTCACCTGCCAGTCACATGCTGATCAGCACAAGCTGATACCACAGGGTGATTTAATGTTTGCAATTGAGAGAATCATGTTCAAGTACTGCATCCACCGCATTCCCCAGGGCCTGGACAATGTCAGCAACTCCTCCTGGCTTACCTACGCTAGACAAAAAAGCTCTTGCACAGAGGCAGGTCTGTCTCCAGTTTGCTGCTTTCCCTGTGATGAGAGATGGTGACTGCAGCAGCAGCTACTGGATAGTTCTGTGGTTTGCATGTTTGCAAGTGCAAGGAAAAGCATTCTCCTGTTGGAGGTACTTTTCCTGCCCAAACAGCCATTCTTTGTGATCTCCAGGGAAAACGTGTGAGCTGGATTGAAGCTCCTGCCAGCTAGCTTCAGCTGCATCGTGCTATTTAATAGAATGTGTCCAGTAAAATCTGCTTCCATTGTAATATTGCAAGATTTATACTATAGGTATTACACCCTGAGTTCATTAGAAAGTATCCCGTGGAGAAATCTACTTTTCCAATTCCGATTGCAGAATTAGTTGGTGTTCTGCATACAGTTCAAAATGCTTGACATTCTTCCAACGTTCCTTCCTGGTGTTAGGAGTTCTTGTCATAAGAAAGAGTCTGCATTGATACCAGTACTGGTACCAATACAAATAGCGATAGTTTTCTTTGAGTAGATATTTAGAGACATTGAGAGGCGGGCTTACGATTAAGAAAGACAGTAATGAATGACAACCTCAAAAGCGGTTCTGCCTGTCTATACCAACAGCAGGACCATAATGAAAGCTGTTCCTGCAGGTTGTATTTCAGCTATGAAGGCTTAAGTGTGAATTCAGTCTGCAGAATTCTCAGGGTAGAATTTTTTAAATCGTAAAGACAGTTAAGTATCAGCTGATAACAAAGCTGTCATAAAAAAGTAATTTTTCAAAAGACATCGTTTTCAAAACCTTCCTTTATGTATCATGGCCTCCTCAGTTGCCTTGCTATTACAGTATTATATATTGCAGGGTGTTACGAGCTGACACGCTTTTCTGTGTCTGCACTGTGCTATATGCAGGACCGTTTGACCACTGCTTCACTTAATTATGAAATGTTCAGAACAAAAAGAATTTTCTTCAGGGCAGTATACATTATAGTACAAATACTGAAACTGGAAGACTGTCACAATTTTTTTTTGTGATAGCAGTTTGTTACAAGGGCTGCATAGATTTTCCAAACATTTATTCATATTTATATTGCAGTTTTAATCCACAAAAGGTCAGGTTTTATTTACCAACCCATGCAATTGCCCAAGGGATATTTTATAGCTGAAAAGAATTCATTCTGAGGAGCAAAATCATACATCACAACAGGGAAAAACTGCATTTGTGTGTGTGTATATATATGGGGTGTTCCTATGCAGTAAGTGAAGTAGAATTCTTTGCTTTAGTAGCTTAGAGCTAGAAGATTAAACAAAATAGTAACTAGTAACAGTGTACAAAAATGATGAAAAATAAAATCCATGAGACATAAGTTGTCTTCCAGCAGACCTGACTGATATGTAAAGAAAACTTTGGCAGAGCAACCAAGGTTTTCTTCAAGTCTTTGTGGGATTTCGTAGCCTATTTACTATGGTTTATTAAGAGTTTACTTTGAAGAAAAAAAAAAGTAGGCATCTTCTTTTTTTAAAAGAATTCATAAATAGATCTGTTTTTGAAGATCTGAAAAAAGTGGATTCAAATTTACTAGGATAAAATTAATCTCATTATAAATTTAAAAAATAAAAGCCAAATTCTTCTTTTTGTAGTACATGTTTAATTCTGTCAGTGTTAATTGTTGAAAAATTGTATTCCTGAAGGTGATGATAGAAGTTGACCTAGCAGGCTTGCTAATTCATTTTAAATGATTGCATTTTGA